ACCATGACCCCCCTCACTGGCAGGTGGGCTTGCTGGGACAGGTCGGGGGAGGACACAGAAGTGGCAGCTGTGCTCTGTCTGGTGGAGGAGAGTCTCTGGGTTGGGACATGTGGTCCAGCCCCGAAGGCAGACTGACCACACGCCTCCCAGCACTGGGTGGCCACAGCGTCGGATGGTGAATGGACACTGCCCATGAGCTCCTTGACAAGCCCCGCATGGCTTCATTCTTGGAGAATACTCAGTCTATCTTTTCGAATCTAACCTTCCTCCCTTGTTGATACCTCTTAATTTCTCTATCCTCTTGAGTTGAATAATCCTTTTACAGCAATAATGAATTAATAAATAGCCAAAGACTCCACAGATAGGAGTGATGCCAAATCAAATTAAGTTGTATTCTATTCTCAGGAAAAGAAACTATTAAACTTGCGAGGTTGTAGTGCCTTCCACCTCATTTACGAACGTCTTCTCATAAGCTGCCATCTCTGGGGAAGACGTGGAAAGGCTGAGCTGCCTCTCTGTGCGGACGGGCTGAAAACTGCCAGGCAGGGAAACACGCCTCCATCGCAGCCACTTTTTCAGCTGGTGTTTGGGGGCTAGATGGGGTGTAGGAGAGGAGGAGGCGCAGTGTACCCCTAACAGCGCCCGCAACAGTTCTCATCCCACAGGACAGTGGGCCACATGTGTGACACAGTGTGCTGGCTGGCTGCTGGCTGGGGCTCCCTAGTCCCACCCCGCCTCCCTCCCCCTGCAGCTGCCCCAACCCTAGCCCCAGTCAGGAGCTCTTGGCTCCTCAGCTAAACTTTGGGTTCTTATACCCCCTAGAATTTAGAAAAAGTTATGTGTCTCCTTGCCCATTTTAAAGTTAAGTCCTAAAAATATATATCAAGTTTAAATGGTTGAAAAGGGTGTGTTATCTGATCTATTACGTGGTATGAGCTTTACATAACATTTTTGGCAAAGCTTTGGCACTGCTCATTAAATGTACAGGCAAGATTTATTGTATAATCTAATTGCAAAGGTTTTTATGGTCAAACCATCCAGGCAAATTAGTCTTGCTTTCTGTCAGACCCCAGTCTGGTTTCATTTTTTCAACTCAAATAAACGTATTACTACATACCTCATGACAACCATCTGACTTCTGAATGTGAATTCTTGGGTCTGTGGACAGACAGGAGCACACAACCATGCCAAGAGTTTATTGACTGGGCAAAATAAATATTTCTTGCCCTGCTCTCATAGGACTCCTCTTAGAAGGATTTTAAAATTGTCCCCTGGTAAGGTTCAGGAGGGGAAGAGGTGTGTATTTCTTTTCTGAAGTGCAGTACAGTGATTGTGAGAGTGGGAAAGTGGGAGTGGCTGCAGAGAGAACGTGTAGATGACTGGCCATGTTCTTGGAAAGGTCAGTTTTAAGAAGGAGTGTATACGGAAATTGAGGATCTGGACGTGTATTTCCTTAAGATTACACATGCCCAGATACCCCCCAAGGAAACTGAGACTCAGAGAGGTTGAGTAACTCACTCAAGGCTCCACAGCTCATTAGTGCCAGAGCAGAGATTTGAACCTATTTCAGTCTTGGTCACCTCAGAGCCATTAGATAATACTGCCTCTCTCATCGGTAAATACCTACTACAGAGTGGGCTGGCCTTTCTTTTTTTTTTTTTTTTTTTTTAAGATTATATTTATTTATTTAATTGACAGAGAGACAGTGAGAGAGGGAGCACAAGCAAGGGGGTTGGGAGAGGGAGAGAAGCAGGTTCCCCACTGAGCAGGAAGCCCGATGTGGGGCTTAATCACAGAACCCTGGGATCATGACCTGAGCCAAAGGCAGACGCTTAGCGACCTAGCCACCCAGGTGCCCCCCCTTTTTAAAGATTTTTATTTATTTATTTGACAGACAGAGATCACAAGTAGTCAGAGAAGCAGGCAGAGAGAGAGGAAGGGAAGCAGGCTCCCCGCCGAGCGGAGAGCCCAACGTGGTGCTCGATCCCAGGAGCCTGAGACCATGACCTGAGCCGAAGGCAGAGGCTTTAACCCACTGAGCCACCCAGGCGCCCCTGCCCCCTCCCTTTTTAATGAATTTTGTAATTTTAATTCCGGTATGGTTAACATGAATGGGCTGTCTTTCTAACACCATTAGTTCATTCTCAAAACAGCAACAGTGACCTCAACAACAACACAGTGGAAAGAATTTCAGTAAGCTCTGAGTACTGATCCAATTATAAATCTAAATGTGGGTGGTAGATATGTCAAAGGAGGATCGTAAGTGTCTGAGGTAGAAGGCTGTTACCTCCCTTGGACAAAGTAAAGACTTTTATAGACTATTTAAGATAAAATCTTACGAACACAGACCAGCTTATATACAAAGTGAAGAAGCATTCAGGAGATGCTATCTCATACTAATTACATTGTGTAACCCTCCAGGAAGAGACCACACACAGGGTGACCAAAGTTCTGTGTTAATCCATTCACTTAAGATCCTTTTTCTTCTTCATTATTGTGAAAAACAGTTTGCTAGTTAATTAGGAAAATGGATGTGCTGTATTTGAAGATGCTAATTGTGGGGGAAAATTCTCTCCCTCACTATTTCTTTCCTCTTACATCTCTCCTTTCCTCTCCCTGCTCCTCCACCTCTCTCCCCCATCCCCTACTAGGCTGTAAAGTCTATGAGGGCAACTGCTGTGTCCATCATTCATTGTTGTGCCTAGCATCATGCGTAACACATAGTAGACAGTCAATAAATGTTTAGCAAATGAAAGAATCAGTGATATGCCGGAATCCCAAGATCTCATGCTTTTAAACCATGAGATGAACTGTATCAGACCCAAGAACAAATCTCTTTGAGGGTCATGAGAAAAGATTTTATCAATCAGGACTCCTGATCTTTTCCCCAAGCCAACGCACAAGTCTTAGAGTAGAGAACCTAGCAACTAGGAAAGCACTTAATTTATTCTCAACTTTATTATACTCAGTTTGGGGGGAAGGGCTGTTGACCTTTTTGTGAATATGATGAAAATTACGGCCTTTCTCAAACAAAGGAACACACAGACAAAATTTTATGTACAATTTAAGTAGGTTCATGAACCCTTTAAAGTATGCATCTCAAGAATGCTGAGAAGTGAACCACAGCTTAAGGAAAGGGCACAGCCATCATGCTGGACCTCTCGTATTTGCAGGAAAATTGACACGAGAACAATAAGAGCTCACTTTGGGTATAATACCAAAGGGGAGAACATGGCGCCAGTTCCAACTGTGCCTTGATTCTAGTGAGACACTTTCATGAAAGGCCCTTTGTTCCCTTTGGGACAGATGCCACCAAACACTGCTTTTTTTAATGACAGTCCACTGTCCAGCCCTTCCCAGCATGCACCCTTCATCCTGTGGTTGGACAACAGGCAGGGAGAGGGAATGGAAATAGGGCAGAGTTTTGGATGGTGAAGGTTGCTGAGTTGGTTCTTTTGGCTGCTGGAGTACACTTACATTCATTTCAGCCTCTGTGTCTTGAAATGTTTTCGCCCTTAGTGGACGTACTACAAGTCTGTTGCCTAGGATATGTTCCCTTAAAGTCTCTCCCAAATGGATGCAAAAAAACAGATTTTATATAGACAGAGATAATCCCTCGTGAGATAAAAAATTTCTAGGTCATCGCTGGGAGCCAATACACCCCAGGCCTTCCCTTCCTCCCAGAGGAAGGAGACTTTTCCTCTCTTCCAAACACCCCCACTTGATTACTTCAGACTTCATCTAGCCAGAACTCATCCTTGAGTGTTAAGGGCACAGACTTCACTGGTGACCAAGGGTTTTCTGTCTCAGCTTTACTTTCTTCATCTGCAAAGTGGGGATAACAACACCAGTCCCTATCCTGGGGTCGTGGTGAGGGGCGCTTAGCTCAGTGTCCCTGGCATGCAGTAGACACTTGGCCAAGCTGGCTGTCTTTTAAGGACAGGGGCCTCTAGAAGTGGAGGAGGAGAAACTGGGCAAGTTTGCTACGTTCATGCTTCTCAGTGCGCTTGCTTCTGCCCCATCCCTGTCTGGCCCTGCTTTTTCCCCACCCCAGTCCCTGGATCAGTAGGACCAAGCCAGGGAGGTTCTGAGCTTAGGCTCCTGAGGTCCTGGCCATGCCTCTGGGACTCATAGCTCACGTTTTGGCCACTGAAATATCACTGACATTGTGGACGCCCTGGCCAGGGCAGTAATGACGGACTATTCCTTTCAGCTCCCTCCTTCCCTCCCTTCCTGTTGTTTTGATATCTCAAAATCAAACCCTTTTTGAAAACAATGATTTATTGAACACTTTTACTAGCAACACTAATACTTTATTAATCCTAGTGCTGGTGCTAATAAACAGTATTGTTAGTGTTTTACGCTCTAGTTGTAGGTAGAGGGAAGGGTAAATAGCAAAGAACATATAGGGTGTGATAAGGACGATGAACGAAATAAAATGGAGAATAACCAGGGAATCCTACTTAGAATACCTTCTCTAAAGGGGCGACATTTGAACGCTGTGATTGTCCCTGGGCAGGAACTGAAACCCTGACTTGATTCCAAGTGAGAAGCTCTGTTGGGAGTGCCAAGCCATAGCTTCTCCTGGTTTTCTCTCCTGACAATAGAGGGTTTAAGGCTAAGGGGAAGTCAAACTCCTGATTTTTACCAATTCTTTATTTTGTCAAGCTTTAAAAATATTATGACCCTCACATGTGCCTTTATAGATAAACTCACTTACCGTGTGCCAGGCATTGTGTGTTGTATATGTATCCTCTGAGTTAATCCTCCAGTAACCCAAGCAAGTAGATCAAAGTTATCAGAATTATCCCTGTAGTCAAATAAAGAAACCAGAACTTAGAGAAGCTAAGTAACTTGCCCATGGCCAACGGCTAACCAGTGGTAGGTTTAGGACCAGGATCCGGATAGCTCTGAGAACAGAGCCTGTGTCTTTGGCAAGTAGATTAGGCCGCTCCCATCTCGTGATGTCTTAACTCACCTGGTTCTCCTTTCCTCTGCAGTGGTGTCAGTGAAGAAGAGGACACATGAAGGCTTGCCATCCCCCATGGAAACTCATCCCTTCCCCCCCGTGTGTATGTGATGGCGTGTATGTAGCGGCTTCTGAGTTCTGTGAAAGCTGCCCACCAACAACCGTACTTCCACCGGATACATCCCCAGGTCCACTGCAGGCACAGATCTCTCCAAGGGATGACCGACTTTATTGTTACTGACTGTGCTTTTCATTCTCTCGTCATGGTAGGTCAAGAAAAAGTGACCCTATGATCAACCAGGAACAGTTAATTAAGAAGCGTCCTTCAGGTAGTCCTTCAATGGCTGCTTTGAACTTACTCAGGAAAGCCAGCCCCCATGAGAGTGTATACTCAGCATCGCTTTAGCTGGAAGTTTCTGGAATAATCTTGAAGGGCAGTCAGAATTTTTTTTCCTACCTGCTACTAAAACCCCACTTTATTTATATTGCAGCATGGAACAGTGGGGAGCACAGTAGGGCTCTGTAGATAGTCTCTAAAAGTCCAGTTATACATTTGTGAAAATGTGGCTCCACGAAGTAAGATGGGTGGCATGAAGACGGGGTGGGAGAAAGAGTTAAAAGTTCAAAATACAGGGATATTTTTAGTACATGAGGTTATCTAGCACTTCAGATCCATAATTCAGTGCTGTGGAAATGAAAAAAATGATTGAAGAGGTAGAAAGGAAATGACTTTAAAAAAAAAAAAAAAGGACCAAAGAGATCTGATTAAAAGTTGAAATCAGTATTTCTGAACTCAAATTGCCTGAATTTCCAAAATAGTTACTAAAGGATCTGATGGAACCTGACGATTTGGGTGAATTCTGCCAGTTTTCTGGGTCTTGCTACAACATGAAGGCTGGGATGTGTATTACCAAGTGGGAATTTTCAGTGTATGTTTTTGTCACCCCCGCTCTAGCCCCCTTGGCCTCATTTGGCTTAAATGCAGTATAGGGAGAGTTCTCGTCACTCCGGTCTGCTGAATCAAGCCCCATCTCCCAGCAGGCACACCCATCTCTCCCTCCAGCTGGAACCCCTCTTCCCATGGCACCTACCGCAGGCCTTCAGCCCTGCCCGCACACGCAGCCTCTCCCCTTTTAAGTACCATGAGCAGAGACACGCCCGGGTGGGACTTGTGGCCTTTCCCCTCCCAAGTCCCATTTCCTTACAACCAAGTTTTCTCCTCCCAAGTAAGCGGTGATTACCAGGGAATACAAACCTGCAAGTTAAAAAGCCTGCATTTTCTGAAAACATCAGTTTTACTTAACTGGTTTGGAGTCAAGGGATGACCTTATTTTTAGATAAAACAGCTACATCATGAAATCGAGTGTTCATACACAAAGTTGAGAGGAAACGGGACACTTCACAGGGAATTCGTATTTACAGGTGGGGTGCGTGTTCCCTCTTGTCTGCCTGTAGTGGTGTTTTGGGGTTCACTTCTGAGAAGTCCAGTTGGTACTTATCTAAGCAGCTGACTGAGGGCATAGACCTCTATTCGCCTCTGATGTGGAATTGAAGGCGCCTGCACCAGGAGGAGTCCCTGTCTTCCTGCCTGCCTGCAACTCATGTACCTGTCACAGAGCATTAGGGCCAGCTGGCATGTGCACGCGTGGTTTTGAGGCAGAAACAGTACTTACTGCAGGAACCCTATTTATATCCTTGTTCAGTCCTGGGCTAGCTATGAAATTATTTCTTTGAGGCCAGGAAGCTACCGGTCATATGTGCTTCTGGGTTAAGATTATTCTAGCTCACTAAATATGTTAGGATGTCAGGACTGAGAGTACTTTGGGCTGTTAAAAATTATATATATATATATATTTATATATACATATATATATATTTTTTTTTTAACTCTCACACTGGTGCCCCACCAATGGGTAAGACAATTTTGGTGCTTTACCTATCCACCTGCAAAGACTGGAGAATTTGGCATACCACTAATTACAGCCCCCCACTGTATCCCACAGAACTACCCATAAAGAGGGACCAGTGGCTACTCTTACAGGAGTTTACGAGCCAAAAGATGAAGACCGTAGGATCTAGACGCTTGTGTTTGTCTCTCCCCAATAATTATTGTTTAATCTCCAAATAGCAGCCTTATCTTCACAATGGACAGACCATTGGCTCCTCCCTACCACACTGTATGTTACTACAGTCCCTGCCAGCAGCATTTATCAGTGTAAGAACTAGGGTGCTTCCTGCCGTGACATCAGCTTCCCTCAAAGCTGGACCATGCTGCCCGGCCTTACGCCCCAGCAGGATGAGGCTTCCCTCTTCCAGGACAGTAACAGAGTGCTCAGAAGTGTGTGCTGGCTGTCTGGAGGCTCTAGGTTTGCAGAAATCCCCGGGGAGAAGTCATCAAGGGCGGCAGGTAATGAATGTCTCCGGAATGAATTGGGTCCTCACAGCAATCCCTGTCTGCTTTCCAAATTTGGGTTCTCCGGAGGCTGAGAGTGGGTTTGTCCTTTGATTTGATGTCATGAAATCCAGGGCAGTTCCAAGAAGTTCTCTTAGGAATTTCGGCTCTGACAGCCCAGGAGGGAAAATGACCTGTATTGAAGACCAGCTGTGAGCCAGGCTCTGTACTCGGCCCCCATTTGTCCGATGATAGAACGGATGTGGAGTAATAGGGCCCCTTGTCTCCAGTTACACAGCGAGGAAGTACTGGAGCTCTCCCTCACTTTGTGGTGGGCTGTGGGACATCAACAGGACGGAGGGAAGGAAAGGCTTCCGGGTCCCCCACTGCAGTCTATCTATCCATAGCCAGAATCCCACTGACTCTGGATTCTTTTTTGAAGTTGCACTTCATGGCCACCGTTTGGGCTCAGAGATGGCCTCGGGGTGGCCTCACTCTTCCACCTTAGCAGGCATGTGAAATACACATTGCTAACTTAAGCCTGCCCCCAGGAGTTGGGGGAGCCTTTCCTTTCTGGGGCCATCCCCCATAAATAAAGTGATTCTAGGCCTTCAAGAATATAGAAGTTCTCAGAGGTTGTAAAAGCGGAGGGTGTTCTGCTCTCTAAGTTTATCTGAAAATGTCTGGCACTGCACTCCTGCAGAAGAGGACACCTTCACTTGTGAGCCCAGCCGGTGCTGTCCTGTCTGAGGGGGTGTTAGCTCAGAGGCCAGTGGATCTGGACTTTCCTGCTGACAGCTGATGAGTCTCTGTGCATGTGCACAAATGTACGTGTGCACGTGGATATGCACATACATAAATATATGCGCGTGCACACGCAACTTAAGAACTAAGGGGAATTCAGAGCAGGCCCTCATTACCTTGCATGCCCCTGCAGAGGTTTCTGCTAGCCCTGATCACGAGCATCACCGGACCGTCCCAGCTTACCAGGTGCTAACGAGAACAGCTTCTCCACAAAGGTCGTCAGCCCCTAAAGCACTGAGCCGACGCGGCAGCCCTGAGGGGACTTGCACTCCGGACCTGCTCCAGGATGTCTGACGGCTTGCGGAATTTGGATGACCCAGCCATTTTTGTGGCCCGGGGGTCTGCCCACTCTGGTCAGGCCTGAGGGCACAGCTGCTGAGTTTATGACTTGTGGTCATGGCAGGGCACAGGAAGTCCTCTCCCCCACCTAGAAAATACTCCCTTGCCAATACTCAAAATTCCATACTCACATCATAGCCGCCCAATACATGCTTTGTACTAAGAAAATGGGTTGCATGTTTACCGTGTACCTAGCACATCTGGAATTTTCTATTTAAAACACAAATCTCATTATGGATGAACTCAGCCCAGCCTTAGGAGAGAAAGAAGGTCCATAGGGGAGAGTTGTGATCCCGTTACTATTGCCTCTGCCTAGCAGCGTTCTGAAACCCCCACCCCAGGCTATTCTAAGATCTGGAGGCCCAGGGGATCTGCCTGGTAGAACAGTAGCATTGGGAACTGAGAACACATCAGAAACAGCAGACCAAGTGCCAGAGCAGGAGAAGGAAAATGAATGAAGACACTTGTGGGTATGTTGGTGCAAAAAATGCCACAGAGCCCGTGCTGGCTTGATAGGACCTTGAGGGGACAGTAGATTTAGACTAACGGCAGTCAAACCTGACCAGTCTTTGTACAGTGACAGGCCATACTGCATGGTGGGTGGGGGGACAGCCAACGAACCCATTGTCCTCTGCCTGTTTTTCCGTGCCCAGTCACATTCCTTCCTTAGTCACCTTCCCCTTTCACCCTTCACAGTAAACGAGGGAACAGTCGATCTTTCAAGGGAATTACACATTTGAGTTAATGTTTCACTATATCATTTTCATACTGTAAATTATTTTGTAAGAGAGATTTACCGCTATCCCAGGATGTTTGGACTCAGCGCCCCTGTGCATTTGGAAATCAATAAACTATTACTGGAAATACCATTTGTCTCTGAGAGTTGTGCACAAAGGAACCTGCTAGGCGTAAATATTCATGATGATCTCCACTCTTAACTGTGGTAATGCCGGAGATGGTGGTGTTTGATTATCAGATACAGGACACTCGTTTACTCCTGACTTCTCCAGAGCGACTTAGGAGATCTCCGGGAAGGGGCACGCAAGCACACGTAACATCATTGTTATTTAGGGATATGTTTTCTCCTCAAAGTAAAACAGTCTGTGCCCAGGTTAAAGTTTCTGAGCCAAGTTAGATTATAGCCTAAAGAACACTTGATCCTGAATGATGTTTTCAAGTGGCATTAAATCTTTACCATTTGGATTAACCAGATTTTAATTTTTATCATATTTTCTAGAAATAACTCTTTGTAGAACAAATTACAGGTAGGCCAGCAAAACCATCATGGTGGAATATTAGAACCATTTACTTGCTACGATTGATACAGAGATCGAATCAAGCTGTCAGGGAAGCTGTTCTGGTCCAGTTGGTCATATGAGGACCAGAGGCTGCACGGAACCAACAGTCCTACACACGGAGGCAAAATGTAAGGCCCCACCCTGCCCTGCCCCCCACCCACCCAGCAGGTGGCTCTCGGGGCACTGTGGTCTATGAACCCTGCTCTGAATCGCCTTTGAATAAATTTGTCTCCATCAGACCTCGTTAGCTAGCCAGAGAACTGTGTGAACTTCAGAGAAATTGTCCAAGATGAGCAGAGTCCGTCGCTGGAGGTCAGCCAGCAAGCCGCACGGATGGAGCTGGGGCAGCAGACTCTCTGTCTCCTGGAGCCATCATTAGGCCCTCCTCCCTCCCTCCCCAGTGGCCGAGGCCATTTCTGCTTGATGGGGTGGG